GTGCATTTCATTTCAATCGCGCTGTTTAGCGTATCGCACTGTCTAGTGCATTTCAAATCAATCGCGCTGTTTAGCGCATCGCACTGTTTAGTGCATTTCAATCGCGCTGTTTAGCGCATCGCACTGTTTAGTGCATTTCAATCGCGCTGTTTAGCGTATCGCATTGTCCTGTGCATTTCAAATAACTCGCGCTTTCTTGCGCATTGCACTGTTTTGTGCACCTTACTTTCATTTTGCATACATTCCATCGCGCTATCTTGCGCATCTCACCTGTACTTGTTAGTGCATTGTATCGCGCTATCTTGCGCACCTTATTTGTATCACACTGTTTTGTGCATTCACCTTGCTCGTACTGTTTTGTACACCTTTAGCATCGCACTATTTTGTGCATCTGTTTAGCACTGTTTTGTGCATTCACTCTGCATCGCACTGTCTTGTGCACTCCCCGGTCTGGGAGACCTTAAATCCTCCGGTCTGCGGAGACCTTAAATCCTGCATCTTTATTCGCACTATCTTGTGCACTCCTGGTCTAGGAGACCTTAAATCCTCTAAAGGTGTAATTCCTTTGGTGTTTGTCGTGCCCGAATGACTTCCGGTGGTCCGGTATAGCCACCTGCCTTTGTTTGCAGTGAGTTCCTAGGAGACCAACTGCGACGGTGGAAACTAGAGTTCGAATGGCTCATGCCTAGAACACAAAGGTTCGGGATTTCCGTGACTAAAGTCTGGTTTAAATACCCAGACACGTGTCCTCGGCTTGAAATCTGTATGGAAGCCCCATAGGTTGAGATAGCGTGTATGCACCTCAATTCTGGATACTGAACCAACCTAGTCTGTCACCCCGTTGGAGAATAGGGAAAGCCGCGACCATGGTCAGGCAGAAAAGTAGTACCTGTGTTTCAACCAAGAAGAAGCGAAAGATCCCCAGCAGCATGAGGTAAGTCATTGCCAATTGCCCCTGTAAGGTGCCTTTACCTCTTAGCCATTACATTGCATTTTAGCCACTACATTACAGTGCATTGCATGAATCCTCAACTTTCAAAACCGGCTTCGCGTAGCGTATAAGTCCAACTTTCAAAACCGGCCTCGCGTAGCGTATAAGCCCAATCTTCAAAATCTTCTTGCATATCGTTTTGCATTTTGCCCCCCTTTGCCTGCAGGCATGCCTGTGGGCACATCTCTGTTTATCTTGTACATTTGTCCAAGTCTTCGGCCTTGTCATGTGCGCGTTGTTTAATATTTTCTTAGAGTCAAGTATTCAAGGGACCCAAAAACAAATAAATAATAAAAATAAAAAATATAATATTCATTAAATGCTTTTTATTGAATTCATTTTTATTGAATTTTATTTTATTAATGTCCACCTCACCACTAAAGTTTGCGAGTTGTGACACGCGTTGCTTTTTATTGAATTCATTTTTATTGAATTTTATTTTATTAATGTCCACCTCACCACTAAAGTTTGCGAGTTGTGAATCGCGTTTTGTTCGTATGAGGCATACGCGGGCATTTGACGCTGATAATTTTATTTTATTTTTTTTAATCTAAAATAGCCAATAAAAAATTAACCACATGCGATGTCTCTATAATTTAAATAAATAAAAATAAAATAAAATATTTCTTATATATTATTTGACACTCAAATAGTAAGAATTTGATTTATTAAATTTAAAATTTAAGGTTCGAGTCTCATTCTTTTCTTTTATTTATTTTTTAATTTTAAATAATAAAAAATGGGCATTTGACACTTGGCAATATGTTTAATATTTTATTTTAAATAAAAAAGTAGACACTTAACAACACAAGGAGAAAAGATTTCAAAATATCATTCAATGTGTTCTCTTTATATTTAACTAGTGGTTCACACACGTGATATATTATTAGGAAATCGTCTATTTCTAATCAAGATCAATAAGATACAAAATAACAAACAAGATCAAAGAAATCAAACACACACAAAGAAATACAATTATTTACGTGGTTCTCTCCAGAATAAGGTTACATTCACAACTGCTACAGTTTTTATTATGATCAGAAAATAATATAACTCTCTTTACCTAAAAGAGACACTTTCTTCATCTATTTATAAATATAGAATTAGGGCAACGTGGAAATAACAAAAAATTACCAAAGTACCCCCGAACCCTCTCCTCTTGGAGGAGACCCTCCTCCCAAACATTCCATTAGACCCAAGGTTCAGTGATTAGCACGTATCAGGGTTTACAAAATCCAACATGTATGTAAAATTCAAATAAGGAAAAATAAAATAATAAAAAAAATATTGAGTAAATTACAAATACACCCCCGAGATTTAAAAAATTATAAATATCCCCTTGTCAGAATTTTGTATTTAACATAATTAACTATAAAAAAAATGAAATTTATAATTACTTTCCTATACAATAATAAAATTGCTTAAATTATTAATTGAAACATGTTTCTAACATCATTAAAAACTGTTAATTGACTTGATAATTTATTAATAAAAGGGACGATTTGTTATGACGGGTAGAATATAATTTTCAAAATCACAAGAGGCGATTTGTATTTTAATTAAATCTTAGGAGTTGTATTTATAATTTATCCTAAAATATTTATTATATATTGGGTGTCACTAAAGTAGTAAAAATCTTCTTCATTAGACTGAAGGTTTAAGGTTTAAGCCTCACTCATACCATTTGTCTAATTTTATTGTTTTAAAAAAAATTAAAATAGATACTTGGCAGCATAAAAAGATAAAATTTTAGGACACCACACTACTAAAGATGTTCACTTTTTGTGACTAAATTTTTAGTCGCCGGAAAGTTTTCCCAACTAAATAGTTTGGTCGCCGGTTTGGTCACGGGAAGATTGTCGGGGAAGATATTGGCGACTAAAAAAAGTTTAGTCGCCGAAAGTCCTAAATTGGCGACTAAAAAATTAGTCGCCAAAAGTAAAGGTATTAGTCGTTGATAGGCGAAATTGGTGACTAATATTTTAGTCGCTAAAAGTTTTCAAAAAAATTAATATCACATTTTCAGCGACTAAAACATTTAGTCGCCAAAATAAAAATTATTTTCCATGACTAATTTATTTAGTAGCCAAAAAGTTTTTTTTTTTCATCTTATTTTTTTAGCTACTAAATGTTTTAGTCGCCTAAAGTGTAATTTTTTTTAGCTACTAAAAATTTAGTCGCCTAAAGTCTATTTTTTTATTTGGCTACTAAAATTTTAGTTCCCAAAAGTTAATTTTTTCATTTGATTGTTTTTTTAGCTACTAACTATTTAGTGGCTAAAAATATTTACTTCCTTAATGGCTACTAACTATTTAGTGGCCAAAAACATGATATTAATTTATTTTTTTTAAATGCATAAATTGAATATTTTTCATTAATTTCTAAATTATATGCATTCCATTATCAAAGCAACCTATATATATACAGAATAATACATCTATCAATTATCATCTAAATCCATTATCAATAATACTTATTTCATTATCAACGATCCAAAAACTTTAACTTGTAACATCATATTCCAAATATCATATAAAACCACACCAATCAAGTATAATCCATCTAAATTATATATTACATACAAAAACACTGGATTTTCAAAACAGAGGATTGTAGAAAAATAAATGTCTTCCATATACAAAACAAATGCTCTTCGTACACAAAAATAAATATCCACAATAGCCCACATAAAAGCAATCTATAAAAATATATATATATATATATATAAAATAACCACTAGCACTTATCTGTAAAAAAATACATTCACTTTCAATCGTCAATTATCAACTGCAGTTTCTTTAAATCATATTCTTTTTAAAATATATCCTAACAGAAGACATGATTCAACAATCTCTCAAAAAGGGTCAAGGAAACATGAAATGGTGCCACTATCAACGGTGAGCAATGGGGTATTGTGATGGTGAGTCCTTGAGAGAGAGGGAGCAAGAGTCTATGTTTAGAAGCAACTACTACTTGTCTCCAAATCACAGGAACATAATGAATCAATGCCTAAATTTTTGAACATATCTGGCAAAAAAATTCTAACAAATATTTGCAACACCACAAATGATTGTAAAATCAGTTTCTATTCTTTATTAAATTTTATTTCTATTTCAATCTCTTAACAAAATCCGGCAATCAAACAACTTTAATTGTGCCAAGCTTATCAGTGCCACTAATGAAACTATAATAGCCAACAATTGACAGCAAAATGACAATATATTCACAATAAAAACATTTACAAGGGAAATTCAAAAAAAAAATTAGCACCAACAAACCAACCATACACTAACAACCATTCCACCAAAATCACATAACAAACAGACACTAAAATTGAAGACCAAAAATGGATCACAAACAATATTAAGATAATAACATCAACAGAGCATATATCTAAAAAGAGTCATTAATCTGCATGATGGCGAGGTTCATCTATTGTCATGTCAAATTGTGGCACTTATTAGTTAAAAACAAAACAAAACAAAACAAAACAAAACAAAACAAACCATTGCTACTTTAAGCAAAGTGTTGAGAAAGCTGCCAAATCAAGATTATCATTATGATTGATAGTATAATTAAGAATTTTCAGAAATAGACAAAGCTGTTAATGAATTAGCAGCAATGCAAACTGAATAAGTTGCCTCTTATTGGCATATGGTATATAAGGTGTATACCTATGCTAACAAAAAAAACCAAAAACACATGCATATCAAATCAATATGAATCTATAATCATATATAAATCTGAATCGAAGGAACACAAAAACAAAAAAAAAAAAACAAAACAAAACAAAACAAAACTGGAAGCCATGACAATATAATGTGCAAAAAGAAATCCAAGGTTCCTGAAAGTGTGACTTTCTGTTGCTCTTTCCAAAAAAAAAAACACCAAAGGTCAAATTTTAGACTTCAATTAGTGAGTGATTGGCCGCAACATGCTTTTCATCTTTCCAATCTGTTGCTTAAAAGGGAACTGCACTTCTATCTTATATCATATCAAAATCAAATAATTAAGCAAAAGAATTTGAATGCCCTAACCATAGCACATTGTTAAAATTTATCCATTTCACACAAAACCCATATCATTGAGGTCCAGAGTAAGGAATATCAATGGACAAATTAACCAAAACACCACTCTTCAAACACAGTTAAAGAGATGAAAAATAGAGAGAACTAGTAATGGGGAAAAATAAACTAGAAAACAGAGAAGGGAGAGTTAGCTAAGTAATTCATGGTCAAGTGAGAACCTTCAATCCTCTGAAGAAGTTTCTTCACTTTCTGCCTACACCCATCACAGTGTATGTCCACTTTGAGCACACGAGTCTGTAAAAGACACACACACACACACACCCAAAAAAAAAAAAAAAAAAAGGAAACAACAAGAAAACAAAGATTGTCAGGAAAAGGCCGACACCCAACTTTCCTCTAATCTCTGGATTTTTTTATTTTCTTTTTGAGGTATTAAAGTCATACTAACTAGTAGCCGCAGCAGAAGATAAACAACTCAACAAAGCCAAAGAGAGACTGAGTTGAGCAGACGTTTTTATGTGCTGAAACCTCAAAATATGCAAATTTTAACATTCAAAATAATCCCTAGCTTTTCTCAGCAACCAAAAAGAGATTTGGGTAAAGCTGTTTATGCAGTTGTAGACATGTCAAAAGATTGATACAAGGACTAAGAGTTTTAGAAATGTCAAAGAAAGCATAAACATATAGGAAGGAACTCATCAGCCAAAAGTCTGGTAAAAGCAAGACCTCCTCTATATTAGGTATGAAAGCAATGCTAGCTAAATCACATCAAATGAATTTCACAAGTTAAGATACCCACCCCTCATCTCAAAATGAATCCTTTAGTGATCCTCCAGGCTTCTTAATAATCTGAATGGCCTCCAAGTTTGTACTGCCCTGCCATTTCCATGAAAATGATCAGCACAACAACAAAGGATAAAATAATATTTGATATAATCAGCAGTGTACAACAACAGAAGTTGTCTGAATGTACAAAGGAGATTGTAAATTACTAATCAAAGTATTATCAACTTCACAATTTAATTCAACTTCTTTTTATTCAAATGATGTTTGATATAGAGAGTATTATCTCAATTAGCAATGTTCCATATCATGGTCTCATATCAATCCGTTAAGGGAAAGGGAAAGTATGGATTGGAATGTTCCATATCATATCAATCTGTTAATCAATCTTTCACTCAAATTTGATGGGAAAAAAAGAAAAAAGAGAAAGAGAGAGATAGTAAAGATTGAATTTTCTGCAATCATGGTCTCATAATATAGCCATGCAAACAGGAATATGTAAAACTTATTCTTTAATTAGAAGCCAATCAAGCAATATCATGTTGACAAGGGCATGAAATTAAGAAAGAAACAATTCTGGAAACAATGTAGTTCATGATAGATCTAGAGCATATTACACAACCAAAATTAAAACAAAGGCAAAAAGTAAATTTAATAACGCAAGGCTTTTCTTTTTCACCAATTTCTTTTTTTGAAAAACAGATATATCTTATGCTAGACCAGTTTGGTAATCGATACTAGGTGTAGAAGTTAATCCAGAGAAGAATTTAGCTGAAAGTATGAGTCACAGAAGTATTTGAATTTGAGACCATTCTACCAATAATCTATCAGACCCTCAAGTTGCATCAATAGATAAAAAACAAAAACAGTTCTCAACTCATGTTCAAAACTACTTCAAATTTAGGTGAATTGATTCAATACGAGCAAGTGAGATCACTAATTTGTCAATTTTTATTCCTCTTCAAAGAAATTATGATAAAATCTATTGACAAAATGATAATTTTTTCACTTCAAACTTTTAACTATACTTTTTATTCTTGTACAAATGCCTAAATGAATGATTTAATAATAACTGAACTAACATTAACACCTTAAATATGGTATCTGAAAGTCATTGACAAGCTACAGTAGTTGTGTTGCTTGGGTGGTTGGTGTTGGTGGTGTAGTTGGAACTTGGAGTTGTTGTTAATGTCCATCTCTACAGTGTTCTCCACTGCTGGGAACTTAGAAGAGGCACAGAATAATCAAACCTTTCATAAAGGAAAATTACTGAAGATAATATAGCAAATAAGATTGATAAAGCAATAAAATAAACTTAGAAATTACAAGAAAATTACAATTCAAGAAGGGAGATCAATAGCATATGATCATTGCATAAGATTGGAACCATTAAAACCAATATTCCATTTTGCTTTAATCTTATAAATTTCGAGATTGGTCATCGATTATGTGTTTGAATCTTATAAATTTCTTCTCTGTCAAACCCATAAAACGAAAATCAAACCCATAAAACTAAAATCAAACCCATTTTCGACATGAAGAATATCATAGTTCATAGAAATCAAACACTTCAACCAAACCCATTAACGAAATCAACACAAAATTAAACTAAAAAAAATCATATAAACCCTAGATGAAGTGTGAGAAATGGGGAAATAGGGAAAGGGAGAAAGAGAGAGAGAGAGAGGGAACCAGAGAGATGGCTCGACAGAGAGAGAGAGACCTAGATCGACAACGAGGGAGAGGACCGAGGGCGACAGAGACAAACCTGTGATTTGTGGTAGTGTTGGTGGTGATTTCAGCGATGGCGGTGGCAACATGCGACGATGGGGACGGACGGTGGCCAGCGACGGTGAGAGAGGGAGGGGAGAGAAGCAGCGGAGAGGGAGAGGGAGAAACGCTGAAGAGAGAGAGAAGAAGCGCTGGTTTGCGGTTTGAAATATATATCTATCTATACTATCTATCTATCTATCTATCTATACTATTATAAAGTGAACACAATTTATGGTGTCATGAAGCCATTTCTTAGAAATTTTTCTCAATTTTCTCTAAAATGACCTTAACCTTTTACACTTCCAACAGTTTTAATTAGGGGTAAAATGATAAAACAAAACAATCAATTTCACTTTCCCACTTTCCACTCTCCACGTCTCCTTATTGCAGTTACAATATACATCGAAATCCCCTCTGCATCTACATAACTCCCACACAGAGAAAACCCTAAACGAAACAACGATACAGACCAATCTTCCACAGAGATCTCCATGGGACACGGTACTTCATCCTTCACCTCTCCTAAAGACCCACTGTCTGTGCGAGGGCATCGATCTTACATCACTCAGCACAGCAAGGCATTCCCACGGTGGGACCCCGTCTGAGACACAGAGATGAATAACGGGTTTGCAGTCACTTACAAACTCCACTATGACAAGATTGAGAGCAATCGCCATAAGACATGCTTGGCGAACTGCCAAATCAATTTCTGGTGAGATGAATTAATTGATTCACTCTCTAATTGCAGGTGAAAAAGGTCGCCATAGCAAAATGCACAAATTTTCTTCCAAGGTTCTTCCATTTCCCCTATTTGTCTATGTTTTGATTTTGCTTTTCCTGTTTTTGTAAAACAAAATAGCGTTTTTTGTTTGCCGGAGGATCATAGGTCCACAGTTGTAGAAGACGATGAGTCCTATTATGTTGAGGATTTAGATGATGAAAGAGAGGGGGCTTTATCTTGGTGAGTATATTTTTATTTTATTTGAGATAATATAGAAGTATGTATATCATATCAAATTTAGAAAAAAAAAATATGCAATTGAATAAATATTTTTATTAGTAGTGTTCCTTAATTTAATTTAAATAAATTCTTCAAACTGAAAAAACACAAAATAAGCCTATATTCTACTAAAAAGAAGTAAAAATATTGTGAAAAATATAATACTCTATGTAAAATGTAAATATAATATTAATATTATACAATAGAAAACTTGATGGTAAAAATTTTGCATTTCATAAAAAATAACTAAAAAGAAAAAAGGTAAAACGGTGATCTTACATAGGAATTTTTGTTAACTTTTTACCTATAAAACTACATGATCATCATCATTCAAAACAACATTTTTATTGATTTAAGTCGAAATATTTTATATTCATAAGATATATTTAATATTTAAAGGTGTAAATATATTTTTTAAGTAATTTAGAAAAAATGACCGAATCTTTACGATTCACGAGTTGATTCGCTTTGCAATTCGGTACAAGGCCATTTCAATTCACGATTTGAATTCCGATTTGACAACTATGTTTGCAAGTAGTATGCACATATAATTTTAGGTCCCGTTTGTTTTGGGAGATAGAATGGAGGGGATTGATAGTGAGGAGATTGTTAGTGATGGGATTGATAGTGAGGGGATTAATAATGAGGAATTGTTAAATTATTTTTATATAAAATAATAAAATAAATAAAAAATTAAACATTATATTTTTAAAAAAATTCCCAATATATAAAAAATAAAAAAAATTCTAATCCCCTCACTATTTTCTAATACCATCTCTACATCCTCCTTACCAATCTTCCTTCCAAGGGTATTAGTAATACCAAGAGACTAATAGTCCCAATGCTATCTCTCCAAACAAACAAGGGCATTAATAATACCTTGGTATTACTAATCCCAATACTCTCCCTATAGCCTAAAACAAACGGGGCCTTAGTTCTTTAGCGACCAAAATTATTTTTCGTCGCTGAAAATAAACTTTTGGCGACTAAAATTTTGATTGCCAAAAGTAAAAAATAATTTTTTATTTTCCAATCGGCGACAAAATCGTTTTAGTAGCCAAAGCTCAATATACAGCAACCAAAATTATTTTTCGTCGCTGAAAATAAACTTTTGGCGACTAAAATTTGGTCGCCAAAAGTAAAAAATAATTTTTTATTTTCCAATCGGCGACTAAATCGTTTTAGTAGCCAAAGCTCAATATACAGCGACCAAAATTATTTTTCGTCGCTGAAAATAAACTTTTGGCGACTAAAATTTTGATCGCCAAAGGTAAAAAATAATTTTTTTATTTTCCAATCGGCGACTAAATCATTTTAGTAGCCAAAACTCAATATACGGCGACTAAATTTTTTTTTTGTCGCCAATTCTAGCATTTTTGGCGACTAAATTTTTTTTAGTATCCAATAACCAATAGGCCCCAACTAAAAAAAATTAGTAGTTAAATATTTTACTTTTGCTGACTAAAAAAAATTTTGGTCGCCATTTCTACAACTTTTGGCGAATAAATTTTTTTTAGTCGCCAATTTTGGTGGCCGAAGGTGCATTTTGTTGTAGTGACACAATAAAATAAAATATTTATTATATATTATTTAGAGTAATCGGTCTATAAATCTAAATTTAAATTTTGTCTGGTCAAAAATTCACAATCTAAAATATTTTACCCATAAAGATATTCTTAAGCAAAATGACAAAATACGCATGTGTGTATATATCTATATATATGTGTGTGTGTGTGTATTGTAACCTGATTGGAAACAAACTAAACCCTAAACAAACCGTCTCTCTTTCTCTCTCCTTATGATTGCAAATGAACCGAACTATACATGAATAGGCTCGACTCAGCTCGTTAAGGGCTTGGTTCGATTCGGTTCTTTTAGTAAGTGAGCCTACTTCAAGCTCGAATATTAGGCACTTTAGTAAATAAGCCAAACTCAAGCTCGCATAAGCTCGGCTTGTTTATCTTTATTTAAATTATATAATAAATATATTATTTATATATTAAATAATATATAAATATATATAAATAATATTAAAAAAAATCTTATCGAACTGAGCCGAGTCGAGTCGATCTTGAGCCCAGTTACTTATCGAGCCGAGTTCGAGCTCAATAAACGAAGCCTTGATTCTCTCCTCTCTCTCTCTTTCTCTTTCTCTTTCTCTCTCTCTCTCATCTCCCTCTATGCTAATAGTTTTTTCTTTGATCTCTGGATCTCTCTCCGAATCGCTTTATTCTGATCTCTAGATCTCTCTTATCTGTCATCAAAATTTTCAAACAAATCTTGCACGAATCTTCTGATAATGCTCACTGATGGTGGTCATGGCGAAGAATTCATCGACAGTGCTGATTTCGACGACAATGAAAGAGTACGGAGGAATGGTAGAAGAGAGGATGAAGGTGAAGGACGTGAAGTCGAATGAAGAGGCGTAGGAGCTAGGGAAGTACTCGGTAGAGCAGTACAGCCTCCAGCACCACCACAACAACAGATGAGAAGTTGATCTAAGGTTTTAGGAGGTGGTAGAAGAGGAGAAGCAGGGTTTTCCGATAGGGCTTCAACGAGGGGAGAGACGAGGAAGTAAGGGTGAAACCTAAAGAGGTCTTGGAGAATCCTCTCTCTCTTCACTTCTTGCTCTAAGAATCCCCCATCTTTATCTCTCTATTCTTTCGATTCTCTCTTTTTCCTCTCTATTACACATGGACCATAAACTCTAATTCCATACCAGTCACTCACATTCTCATCTACGAATCATGTTTCACCTTCAATTTATTAATATCTAGGGCTTCCAATTTGTTTACTTTTTCTTTCTTCTTTTTTTGTTTTTGTTTTTGTTTTTGTTTTTGTTTTTGTTTTTTTTGTTTTGTTTTTTAGAGTGGAGGGGGGAGGGGATTCTTCGTTCAATAATGAATAAATTGTTGTAATTTTTTTTTTAATTGGTGTATTGAAGTTTTAGGCTTGAAAATTCAAGCGATGAAGATGACTTTGTAACAGTTCTTTTAAAGAAGCATCTGTTAGAGCAGAAATGAAAGCATGGCATACAAGTGTGTTTTATGTGCACTAGAAAACAACACAAATAGGATGAGTTGCTACATCTCTACTACTCTCATCATCATCAACAACAACAACAACAACAACTTGTTCTTCTCCTCCTTTGGTTGGATATGATGCAAATCTTTGTGAAACCAACAATGAATTTTTTATACATAGCGAACAATTCAATGACCTGTTGAAACATGGATGAGAGAAACCACGATTTGTTGAAAAATTCATTGTTGGTTTCAATAGATAAAAAAACATGAATAGATTAAAAATAAATAAATTCAACAAATAGGAAAAATTTGGACATATAAAAATTTGAACAAACAAAATTTAAATAGATAGGTTCAAAAATTGAACCGATACATTAAAAATTTAACAAATAGATACAAATTTGACACATAGGTTCAAAAAAATTCAACATATAAAATTTAAACAAATAGGTTCAAAAATTGAATAGATAGATTAAGTGGTAAAATTGGAAGCAAAACTCAAAAATAATAAAATATACTTCTCTCTATAATATTTTACAAAGAATGTACTTTTCACCAAGTAATGAGCTTCATTAGTGGTGGCTCTAATTAGAGCTCCCAAGCATTTTTGAATGGTTGGGATTGGAAACGCACCTTTGCAAATCGAATGAGACGGTGACATAACGAGTGAAATCAGAGAGAGAGATGCTAGTGATGATGGTATTTGGCTAAGTGATGGAAGACAAAAAGCTTGTTTGAAAAAAATAAAAATAAAAAAATAAAAAAGAGCTTGTTTGGTACGCCTGTGGTATGTTTTTTTTTTTTTTAAATTATAAATTTACAATTTATATTATTTTTAATAGTAAATTATTTTAATTTACTTAACTAATACTATTTATTTGGTTTCATTTTTTTTTTAGGGGGATGCACCAATAAATCCCAAATTAATCACTTATACATTGTTTAGTCCTAAAAGTTTTTTTATAGACTGAAAGGTCCCATTACAATGTTTCAAACATTAGATTTCGAAAATCAGATTAATGTTTCGAACATTAGATTTCGAACATCAGATTAATGTTTCAAACATTAGATTGATGTGCAAATGGGACTAAATGGAGCATAAGAAAACTTTTAGGACTAAATGGTTCAACTTTTTAG